TAAGCCTCTTTCTAGCTTGGTTTTTGGTATTATGGGGAAAGAAGCACGTAAAGGTGGCAACTTTATGTTGTTAATGGACCCTAGAGACCCAGATCTATTGTTTGGAGCAAAGTAGTAGCTCTGTGACTCGAGATTATGAGAATGCACGTATGGACTCGGCGAGTCTGGGAGATGACTCGGCAAGTCGGGCTAGAGATCAGATATTGAGTCGCGTAGTAACTTGGCGAGTTGCATGGGTGACTCGGCGAGTCTTATGATGATGAGCTTGGACTCGATGAGTTGGAAGAACAACTCGGCGAGTCTATTGAAGATTGTCGTGAACTCGACGAGTCTGTTCTTGGACTCGGCGAGTCTGCTCGCAGAACCTAACCTCTTTCAGTTAAAGACTTGGATTAGTGATTCGGTTGGGGACTCAGTGAGTTGGTCAGGATGGAACTCAAAGATCGTTGGAATCGACAAGTCTTGGGGCGACTCGACGAGTTAAGTCATGCTATGAGAGTTTTCTGGATATGGGAACTCAGCGAGTCAACGGGTTGATTCGGCGAGTAGAGTCAATCAGGAAGGTTGACTTTGATTTTGACCTTCAGGGGTATTATGGTAATTTGGATATTTATGTTAATGATTATTGATGGATATAGGTGTTGGAGTTTGAGGCGGTGCTTCTGGATTATGCTCTTGTGATTCGGTTTGGCAGTTGCAAGGTGAGTTATCCTCACCATACTAAGGGGTCTAAGGCACCAAGGTCGACCCATTTGATATGTTATCCTAGTAGTGTTACATGTTGAGTACGAGTTTGTGTTGCATGTTAGTGTTTATGCCAGTTAGGTAGACATGTAGGACTACCTGTGATGTTATATGATTATTGCATGCTCAGTAGTTATGTATATGTTATGTGGGTTAGGTTGAGGTTGTACTGCTCCATGCGGTAGCCAACAAATCTTAGAGTATTCCAGATATGAGCTGAGGGCCCGGTAGGCATTCCATACTCATACTGAGGATTCGCGAGTACGCCAGATATGAGTTGAGGGCCTGGTAGGCATTCCAGACTCATACTGAGGACTCGAGAGCATTCCAGATACGAGCTGAGGGACCGGTAGGCATTCCAGACTCGTACTGAGGGCTCGGTGGCAATCCAGATGTGAGCTGAGGCCTCAGTAGGCATTCCAGACTCACACTGTGGGCCCAGGGGTATTCCAGTCTGTAGAGTTGTGGACATGTTACGTGCTGTTCTGTCTTGATTGATATGATATGTTAACATTGATGTTGCTATGTGGACTGTATGTGTATCAGTATTTTGGGGGTAACTCACTAAGCTTTTGGGCTTACAGTTTCAGTTTATTGTTTCAGGTACTTCAGGAGACCGTGGCATGGCGAATGTGTGATCGTACCGCTCCTCAATTTTATGTTGATGTTTCTGGGATACTCTGATAATAAATGAACTGGAAACCTTTTTGTAATAACTTAATGAATATGGGATGTTTTTGAAAAGTTTAAATTGGTTGTAAATTTTCACGGTGTTACAAAAACCCTAGATTAATGGCTTCTTCTTCCTCATCTTTTTCTTTTTCTTTTTCTTCTTCTTCTTCCAAATGACAAGACGTATTGCAAGCTGATCATCCATGTGATTGTAAACGACCATTTCATGTGAAGATTTCAAGGACCCACAACAATCTTGGAAGACCATTTAGGGTTTGTCAAAACTCACTGGTAAATCAATCTTTGTGAATTTTTGTTAACTTGTGCTTCTTCATCCTTCAATTTAACATTTTCTTAAAAATTTCGTAGAGAATGGAGAAAGTCCAAGATGTAAATTTTGGCAATGGGTGGATAAGGATGAAGTGAGGACAGATGGAATAAGCCATGAGAGGATGAAATCAGAAGAAGACTGTAATATTTGGTGAAAACTTCATACCTTATACAATGAAATTAGTATATGTATGTTGAAGATCGAAGAAAAGAAGAACACCAATTTGGTTAACAGACAAGAGTTGGAGAAAGTCAATTGGAAGTTGTTTAGTCATAAAGTTGTGTTGGTTGTGTTGTTTTTCTTATATGTGGAAATGTTGTTTTGAATTAGGGATCCTTTTGCATTATGTAGATGATGATGTATGATGATTGGATGAAAATGTTGTTTTGGTTAAGTGGAATGGAATTGTAATATTGTAATAAAACATTAGAATTGAAAATTTGGAATTCTAAATATTGCAAATGGAATGGAATTGGACTGTTTTGAATGAAACGTTTTATTTCATGGAAAATTGGTTGAGTGGAATGGACTTGGAATGGAATTATAATGAAACATTGGAATGGGATTGGTTTTCTGAATATTAAAAATGGAATGGAATTGGACTGTATCATGACTAAAATATTGGAATAGATGGTAAAAGATTCCATAGAGCAAGTTTGTTACAAAAGATGTGTTAAAGTTAAACATTACACATTTAAATATGCATTATTGCCAAAAACGTGTTTAAAAAGTTAAACATTACACACTTAAATATGCAATACTGCCAAAAGATTCCAAAAGTTAAAGTTGCCAGTCAAAGATGCCAAAACAGAAACAAGAGTCCAAGATGCCAAAAGCTAAACTTTTGCCCCTCCCACTTCTTTCTTATCTGAATTTTTGTAATTCTTTCTAAAGGTTTCTTTATCCTCCATCCCAGCACAAATTGAAATGTCGGTACTTCATATTGTACTTGAGCTGCACCTTGACCTTGAACTAGCACTTCAGCTTCTACTTCACCTTCAACTTGAATTGGCACTTCAACTACTACTTTAGCTAGCACTTTAGGTTGAACTTGAACTGGGAATTCATTTGCTACTTCTATATCATCTTCACCTTCAAGTTGTATATAATCTTCAAATTCACCTTCAAAAGAATCCGCTTCACTATTAGGTTCCATTTCAACTTCAATGTCACTTTTCATTTCAATTTCATGCTCTAATTTTTTCTAACATGGTAATTAGTGGTCTCTTCCTTGCAACTTGAATGACTGAATTAAAACTCTCAGATACACCATTTTCATATGTATCACAAGCCCTATTAGTCTGAAAAATGCTCTACTCCAAGTTTTAGGGTCCCTTTCCATCAGATGGTTATAGGCTAGAAGCTTTAATTTCTCGATTTCATTCATATGTTGCTCAAATTTTGCCTGGGTAGTAGCTGCAACAACATACCAGAAAAGCTTCCTAAATTTTTGGCCCTTAAATTTTTTCATGAAGTTGGCACATATGTGCCTAGCACATTGCCTATGCTTTGCTGCTGGAAACCTTTCTTTCACAGCCTCAAGTAATCCCTGTTAGCATTAGACAAAAAACATAAGCTTAAATAAATTAAGTAGTACTAAGATAGAGAGAACATAAATTGTTTACTTTGTGTTGGTCTGATATTAGGGTTAGTATTCCAAGGTCATCAATTAAAAGGTCAATAAACCACTTCCATGTTTCTTTATTTTCCACTGAAACCACAGCCCAATCAATTGGGTATATATGGTTGTTTGCATCTCTACCTACAACAGAAAGTAACTGCCCTCTACATATGCTCTTTAAGAAGCAACCATCTAGTCCAATTACCCTCTTACAACCCTCAATCCACCCATCCTTCAAACCCTTTAAAACGAAATAAAACTTTGAGATGTAAGTGGTTCCATCAGTCATGACATCTACATCCATCTTCACTATTGATCCATGGTTAGTCCTTTTTATATCTTCCCCATAGCTCCATGGTTTGGTATAATGTTCTTTTAAAGAACCCTCTATCTCCTTAAATGAATACCTCCTAGCATTTATGCATTATCCAACACTTGCAATCAAATTAAATTCCTTGCTGACTTTAGCTTTCAATTTCCTTATACTCATCTTTGGTTTGTGTAGTATATACCGCATGAAATGAGTTCCTATCCATTTGGACCCAAATTGAAAGACTCTTGAGTAATTATGGCTATCATTCAATGATTTAATTTGGAATGACTTTTCAGAGGACATCCAAGTAGCTCACAACCTAAAGGAACAACCTTTATTCTGCTTACATTTACAACATTTTACCAATAACATATGATTACCACTTTTTTCATACCATAAATCGTACCCATTCTTGACTGCATAGTTGGTAAGTTTCAATTCTAATGGGTTAGAAAACTTCATACCTGAAACTGTCACCATTTGATCCCATTATTGGTTCTCATCATGGACAGGGAACACAACCTCCATATCTTTTCCATTGTTGGCTTCATCATCATCACTTATATCACCTGAAAGTTTGATCAAAATTTTGTCCCTAATAGTTTTGTCAAAAGTTTAAACTTATTCATCACGTTCATGTTCATGTTTCGTAGTATCAGAATTTTCTGAGTCATTGTCATCTTTTCCATCCAAGTCATACTTATTATCATCACTTATATCATCTGCTAAAACCTCGCTATCAGCCCAATCAAGAATTGGTTCATTTTGGTGATCAATGTACACATCCAACCCAACATCACTATAAACAACTTATACAAACGCCCAATAATCAGCATCAATGTCGATTATTCTTATACCCTAAGCCAAGCATTCCTTTCTATTACAATAGTAACATTATCACAGTCTCCTTCAATTAATTTTGTAAGCCGCAAAAGAAATTCTTTATACGTAAATCCACCAAAATCCACATCACGAACATTTTTTTTACCTGGTCCAAGTATACCAACGACTTTGGCCAAATACCCCTTGTAATGAATATCTATAAGAACATACATACATGCAAATGATTAGGATGTCACGTAATACATTATAATTGACCTAAATCGATTTAATCAGCAAAACCCTATGTTTGCTGGTAATAAAGGTATTTGTGAACTCATAAAATAAGTTAGTTGTGAACTTATGAAACAATTTAATTGGGTGAATGAGTGCAAAAAAACAAATATTATCTATTTCGAAATTCCTAGGATAGGACTAGTGTGTGTAATAAATTACACCAAAGTGGCTATACTTTTTTTCAATAAAACATTATTATTAAAATAATAATTAAAATAAATAAATAAATAAAAATAGAGGATGGTGGTATCACTTTGATTTTTGACGCCGTCCATAGAAAAAGAATGGCCTGATCCACGGCATATTCTTTTATTTACGATCGCCACCGCTTCTATCTCTCAAGGAACTCATACTGCTTTATACAAAACTCATCAGATTTCAACACATATATTCGCCCTTTTTTAACGATTTGTTCTTCGTAATTCTTCTTCAATCATCTCCAGGTATTGTTATCTTTCTAATCCCCTTACTCATTTTCAGTCCTTGATCTTTCCGTCGCTTTTCTTTTCAATTATTTCCAGTTAATCAAATACACAGAAAATGAAAATTCGCCTTTTGGCATTGGTTGATAAATGGTGAAATTTCTTTTTCTGAATATCTAATTTCTCATCTGATTATCGAGAAACTAAGCTTACATCAAAGCAATATTGCAATCGTAATGGTAATCGTAATCGTAATCGAAATCGAAATCGACATCGTCTTATCTGTCGTCATATTTACTTCATAAATCAGGATATGCGATTTTATAGGTTTTAGTAATCTCATTAACCGTTGTTCTGTGGAAATATATTTTTTTTGCTTGAAAATCTTTGCAGATGGCGACTTTAATCTCTGACACTGCACCATGGAAGGACCTGAAGGTGATTACAATTCGTCTATTTGAACAATTGCATGTATTCATTGCTAAGCCTGTTAATTGATGATGTGACACTTTCTTACCTACAGGCACATGTTGCGGACATTAACAAGACGCATTTACGTGATTTGATGTCTGACAATGACCGATGCAAGTCAATGATGCTGTAAGATAGCTTAAGCCTCTTATGAACTAGCACCACATATTCATTTCTTTTAAGTTTATTGGCTTCTTTCCTTATAAACCTGAATACTTCGAAGAATTGTTACAATCTCTAGCTGTAAATTACTCAATCTGCTCTTTATAACTATGTCGTTTTACATTGATTATCAACTTTTTGAGCTAAGAGGCTAATGAGTTCTTTTCAATTGGGGTTTATGCAGAGAATTTGATGACATATTTCTGGATTATTCACGACAATGTGCCACTCTTGATACAATGTCTAAGCTCTTTAAACTTGCTGAGGTAGGTTGCTCTTTCTTTCTCTTAATTGAGAATATTATAGTAATATCATCATTCTATAAAATACAGAAATTACAAATCAAGTGAATTATGAGCTTGAGCCTCCAAAGAACAAAAACAGAAGTACAGTATTTTCTGATCATCTCTTTTTTCCTAATGCAGGCAGCACATCTCAAAGAAAAGATCACTAGTATGTTCAATGGGGAGCATGTAAGTAAACCTGTAAATTTATTTGGAAGTAACTTGTGGATTGACTATTTTACCCTTCTGATACAAATGTGATTACTGCAGATAAACAGCACAGAAAACAGGTCTGTGCTTCATGTAGCTCTTCGTGCATCAAAGGACACAACTATAAACAGTGATGGAAAAAATGTTGTGCCTGATGTTTGGCAAGTTCTTGACAAAATTAAAGAGTTTTCTGATAAAGTTCGCAATGGTTCTTGGGTAAAATCATCCATCTTAAATGCTAATCTTTATCTTTATCTTTATTTATTAATTATATATAATAAATAATTCTTTTCTAATTCTTATTAGGTTGGAGCCACAGGGAAACCACTTACAAATGTGATTGCTATTGGTATTGGTGGAAGCTTTCTTGGTCCATTGTTTGTGCACACTGCTCTTCAAACTGGTCACTTTCTTCAACTCCATCTTCTTATTCTAATATTAATTAATCTTCTTTTTGTATAGAATAAAAATAAAAATAAAAAAACTTATTATTATAATTTGTTTTGTTAAATAACAGATCCAGAGGCTAGTAAATCAGCTGGAGGACGCCAACTTCGCTTGTAAGTATACATATTTTATAATAAAGTTCACATAGTCTTACAAAATCCATGAAATTTGTTATAAATTTATGATTATTGAAATGCTTTTAATTCGTTTTATCTTTTTATTTTCTGCAGTCTTGCAAATGTTGATCCAGTAGATGTTGCCAGAAATATTACAGGCTTGGATCCCGAGACAACTTTAGGTTCATATTTTTTTTTGTAATTCAATTTATTTCAAACAACATATATTTTTTTTTATATAATTAATGTTATTTTCTTCTACAACTGCAGTTGTTGTAGTTTCCAAGACTTTTACTACAGCTGAGACTATGCTTAATGCAAGGACATTAAGGGAATGGATCTCATCTTCTTTAGGGTAACTACACCAATTTTTTTTCTTCCTATTATACCCTTACTCTTTATGTTCTCTTACACAACATGGTTTCATTTTCTTTGTTGTTTAAGGCCACAAGCTGTTTCAAAACATATGGTTGCTGTTAGCACAAATCTTAAGGTTCTTTTTTTTCCTTTTTATCAATTGCAACTCATAAATTATTAAAAGTATAATTCATAATTCTAATTTTTTTTATATGTTTTTCTTTGATGCAGCTTGTGGAGAAATTTGGGATTGATCCTAATAATGCTTTTGCATTCTGGGATTGGGTAGGAGGGAGATACAGTGGTAAGGACAAGATAGTCTTTTTATTACAATAATTCATAAATAAAAAAGAACCCATTTTTTCATTTTTTGAAATGTTTTTATGTGATTTTTCTTTTTTATTAATTTCAGTTTGCAGTGCTGTTGGAGTGTTACCTTTATCTCTCCAATACGGTTTTCCAGTTGTTGAAAAGTACAATAACACTAGAACTTCATCTTTCTCTCACTAAAATACATTAAATTTTCTCTTCACTTTTTTTTTTTTAATTATTATTATTATTAACAAGACTTTTTTCCCTTATTTATAGATTTCTCAAAGGTGCTAGAAGCATTGATCAGCAATTTCAATCTGCTCCTTTTGAGAAAAACATACCTGTATGTGATACTCTTCATATAGTCATATTCCCATTTTACCCTCTCGTGTAATGTAATTTTCGTTATACAGTATCCACATTTTTATACTTTGGTTAATTTAGTATTCATATTAAGAAGTAAAAATAAATATTAAAAAGACATGAACAATATATATATATTTTTTTCTTGTATTTCAGGTGCTTCTAGGTTTGTTGAGTGTATGGAACGTTTCTTTTCTTGGATATCCTGCAAGAGTGAGTTTATTCACCTGAGAGGGTATTTTGGTAATTTACTCTTTGTTAAATTCCTCATTTAGCATTATTTTCCCTAGGCTATTCTACCCTACACTCAAGCTCTCGAGAAGCTTGCTCCACACATTCAACAGGTATATATTTATTATTATTAACATTATTATTTAAGTTCTGTAAACATTTGAATTATTATTATTATAATAATTTAATTTTATAGGTTAGTATGGAGAGTAATGGGAAAGGAGTATCCATAGATGGTGTAAGCCTTCCTTTTGAAGCTGGTGAAATTGATTTTGGTGAGCCAGGAACAAATGGTCAACATAGTTTTTATCAACTAATTCATCAGGTAACTAACTAACTAACTAACTTTTTTGTTTTTCTATCTATCTGGCTAATAAAAAGTCTAATTTACCCTTCAGGGGCGTGTTATTCCTTGTGACTTCATTGGTATTGTCAAGAGTCAGCAACCTGTCTACCTTAGAGGTACCAATCCCTTTCCTCTCTAGTTTAACTTCACTTTATTTATTTATTTTTTTTGTCTCATCTCATTTTTATATATAATGTGAAAATTTGGTATTCAGATGAAGTGGTAAATAACCATGATGAACTCATGTCAAACTTTTTTGCACAACCTGATGCTCTTGCTTATGGAAAGGTAATCAATCTACTTTTCACGTTTTTTTAAATAATATAAGTTTTTCTACTCATTTTAATGTAATTTTCTCTTCTTTCCAGACCCCTGAACAATTGCGAAGTGAGAATGTTGCATCTCATCTTGTTCCTCACAAGGTGGCTTCCTACTTCATATTTAAATTTGTTTTTTTAATTCAAAAAAAAAAAAAAATACTAATTTCAATTTTTTGTTGACAGACATTTACTGGGAATAGGCCCTCCCTTAGCCTTCTGCTTCCATCATTGGATGCTTATAGAATTGGACAGGTTTAGTTTTTTTCTTTTTTTTTTTTTTGAAAATATTCATTTATTTTGCTGACATCATCTTACAAAATATATCTTTTTTTAGTTGCTAGCTATGTATGAGCACAGAATTGCTGTGGAAGGTTTCATTTGGGGCATCAATTCTTTTGATCAATGGGGAGTCGAATTAGGAAAGGTAAATTCCTTTTTTTTTTTTCAATAAAAGAAATAAAAATGAAGTTATTTTATTTGAATAAAATTACTACACAGTCGCTTGCATCCCAAGTGAGAAAGCAACTTCATGCATCCCGTAAGAAAGGAGAATCAGTCGAGGGCTTCAATTTCAGTACCACCAAAATGCTAACAAAATACCTCAAGGTGCCTACTTTCATTTCTTTTATTTTCTTTCTATTTTTTTTTTTTTTTTAATATATATAATAATAAACAACTCACTCAATGAGATTTTTTTTTTGTACACGTGGCTTTTTGCAGGCAAGTGCAGATGTGCCTTCAGAACCCACTACTCTTCTGCCCAAGATATAAACTTTTTTTTTTTTTTTTTTTTTTTTTATTTTTGGGTAATTGCATGAGACGTGTTGTACTGTACAAGCATAAATCTTGCCATTTTTAAATGATGGAATAATTGTTTTATCTTTTTAATTTCTGAATAAGATATGGCTTGGGTAAGGTAATATGGGAGTTGTATTTGAGGATTTTTTTTTTTTGATAAAATAAATTAATATTTATTTTTTCTCATGATTGGAACATTACTTCGAGTTTAAGAAAAGCTCAAAAGGTTGATGTTTGTCACCTATATTTATTGTCTTGCCAACTGCTTGATGAAATGTTTCCATCGCCTCAACAGCTTAGGGGTGATTAAAGAGTTGAGGAAAGAAGGAATTGTTATCATCATCACATATAAACCTAAAAAGTTTTATTGAAATTTCAACCTACAGAACTATGATTGTCTTTTACATTAAAATTTTTATATTAGAAAGCCAAATAGAAAACCATTGGTGATGTATCTCCATTAAGCGCCTCTCTTTAGTTTTTTAAGGATTTGAGTGTGATAAAACTAGTTGATTACTTGGTTTATAATTGTGTAGAAGTGTTCCTAAAAATTAGCTCTAAGCTTTTGAATTCTTTAAATCTACTCTAATAAATGATTTTTTATCATATGTTACAATCTTATTCGTAGTTATTTTGAATTAATTTTTTTTATATGTCATTTTATGAGTTTTTCTATTTTATTAAATTATATTTAATATAATATGCAATAAATGTAGTAATAAATAGATATCAATTTCATTAATAAACTTATCTTCTAATTTCAAAAATTTCAAATTAAAGTTAATTAGTTATTTTGTTTATTTATTTAAATTATTTGTTTAAATTTAAAAGATAAAAAACATTTCAATTACAATAATTCATATTATTTTTTTTATTTTCTTATAAATTCAAAATTCTCAAAATTTTAACATTATATATATATATATATATATATATATATATAAAATTAACTCATGTAATATATGAGTCACACATTTAGTAATATAAAGCATAAAAAATAAAAACTCTCAAAAACTACTTGAAATAACTTTTGGATTATAAGTCTTTTTTGTTTAAAATAAAAGTTTTAAGTTCGTTTGGAAATAAAGTTTTTTCCTTAATTTGAGATTTTCCCCCAAAAGTTAATACCTAAAGCTGAACATACCTATTTAAAATACTAACAATATAAAAATAATCTCGAAAAAGTTGCAAATTTGAAAATCATAAGTATATATATTGGATTTTCGATAATTACAATATTTGAAATTTTGAAATACCAGTATATGTATCCTGATATGCAATTCATTTCAGATTAATACATGTTGAATTTTTGGATTCAAATATTTTTAACACTTCCCAAAAATGTCGGGGTTAGGATTTGCCGTTTCCTTTTAATATATTTTTCATCTTATTCTCTCCTATAAATACAAAGATGAGTTTTTTCAACTCGTGTGTTTTTATTTTTTAAATATATATTATTTTATTTGGTAGTATTTATTTTCATAAACATAAACTCATGATTTGCATTCAATCATTGAATTAGTCTCCTGCAGGTTCATCCATTATTTGTTGTTGAAGCTAACCATTTAATAAAGTCAACCCGATGCCCTCCAACCCAATCAACATTTCCAAATTTTTTAAACAATTTTATTCTTCTAACAACTCCATCTTTCCAATTAATATTCAAAACACACCCTTTTTTCATTTCTTCTTTCTATTTCTCAACAATGGTGTTTCCCCCTCCTCCCATCTCCCTCCTTTGCTTAATCTCCATTGTCACACTCTACTTGATGATTTGTTATGCAGTCATCGGCTTCATTGCCAAATCCGAAGTTTTTAGAGTCGAATCCCGTGAAAATGACAAATCTACCCCTGGTTTATCTGTAGAAGAGTTACAAAAGTTACAAAGTTTTAGTCACAAAATCAACCAAGGAGATGAAGAAGAATCATTAAGTTGTGCAATATGTTTGGATGATTTTAAAGAGTTTGAGGTATGCAAAAGATTTCCAAGTTGTGATCATGTGTTCCATAGCCGTTGTATTGATCTATGGTTGGTTCATAGAAGAACTTGTCCAATTTGTAGGACATCATTTGATCATCTTATTCATGTTGTTTAAGATTTTTCTATTTTATTTGTTTTTTGTTTTGAAAATATGTGATTATGAATGTTATTGATATTTTTTCGTGACCAATCAATATAGAAATTACAAAGTATATTTTCCATATCGTTGGTCTTGTTCCAATGTACTTCGATTTCAATTGAGGAATAAATATTTTGGAATCAATTGTCCAAATTATAAGTGAAATATGTGTTACAATATGAATACGAAGTTTTGATTATTGAAAAGTTATGTATTAGTAGCTTATAACTTCTCCATGTATATAATATTGGTTGTGTCGTTTCTTGGTTTTGAATTATAAGAAGCTTAGTTGTGAACACTGTTAAAGGTTTTATATTTTTTTTGAACTATGTGTTTTTTTTTTCGAGTTAGGCTTAATAAACAATTGAGGATTTTAATTTAGATTTTATATTTTTTCGGCTTGCATATTGTTATAAAAAAAAAAAGTTTGATTGAATTTTAAGATAAATGAAAATGTCCATGACTAATGCATGTGAAAACAAAATCGACAAATAGAATATCATGGCAACATTTCTGAATATTCAAAACAAAAAAATTGTAGAAGGGTAAGGGGCCCAACAGGTTTCATATGTTTTAAATTACTAGAAAATTATAAATATGTTTTTATTGTGGGAGAAAATTGAAAATCATAGATATGTTACAATGCACAAACCGGATTTGAGTGAAAGTGGATCAGATTGAAACCAGTTTTGGCCTCTTGCTCTTGGATCTAAACCGGATTGAAAAAAAAAAAAAAAAAAAAAAAAAAAAAAAAAAAAAAAAAACCCATATATTTTCATCAATTTTGCCGCATTTTACTGAACATGAATGTGTCCGAAATTAATGAAATTTTTATTGTTGAACAGACATGGCTCAATAAACAAAGCTCATCGTTTTGCCTTCGCGCAGATGTTGTTGACAATTTTGGATTGTTTAAGGGATCAAAAGTGTATTATAATGTTTTTAACGCTATAAAAGTTGTTTCTCTAGCATCCTCTATATTTTAAAGGGTCAAAACCTTTCTTGAGAACCCTTCAAGAATAACTTCAGAAGTAATATATCAAAACGCATTTTTATACTACATAAAATATCGGATTTTTATAGGATCTAAGCCAGTTTTTGAACCGGTTTTCGTAAATTTGGTTCCAATCAAGTTTTATGTCTATAAGTTATATCCGTAATTCGATATCAAACTGGCAGATTCAATTCGGTTTTATTAACCATTCTTTGTCGGAGCCTGTTCTAGATCAAATACCGGATTTCCGACCCAAAGTGTTATTTTGCCCACATCTAGCATTGTACCATAAATATAAGTTATCACTTATTAAACTAGAAGATATCTATATCTATATATAACGCAAACTTTCGTTTAAAAGACAACACTGATTTTATTTCATTTTATTTGTTACAGGAGATAAATTACACAAACCTGCAACTAAAATGATATATTACAAGAGGAAAAATCATTTGTGGTATTTTTTTTGTTTGTTTATTTAAGTATGGTAATGATAAAATAAGTTATAAATAATAATCCTATTTTTTAATAGTAAATATACGTTAAGTTATGGAATCATGATTTATAATTGTACTTTAATTAAATTAAACTAGAATCAAGCTCATTATTGGATAAGTTATTCAACAAATGATTACATAAAATATATAATTATTCAACAAAAGTTTACCAGAATTATGTAAGATCAAGTGGATATGTTATGATATATCGGTGATCATGGATTGTTTAATAAGCCTCTTAATCTCTTAATGGTTTTATTAAAAGACAACCACAAAACCATCTTAGTAGCTTGCATCAATCCGCCACAAGGCCTACGAGTGGTCAATCATGAAACACTAGCAATATTTTGGATGTTTTATGGTTTAAACATTGGACCTCATGTGTGAACTTCACTCATTAAATACTATATTCTCATCACCGAGGGAAGACAACCTCTTAATCTCTTAATGGTTAATCATTAAGGTGTTGTTTCTTTTTTACTTAATGGACTTAATGTATAAAAAATTTAATGGTTCAACTATATTTGGTTGTTTTTTTTTTAATGTTAAGAAAATGTCTTAGTTGGTTAAATTAAGAAATATATATCTTTAACATTAAGTGGTAATTTTATATTTATTTTTCCTACGCTTTTTATTTTCTCTACATCTGTAACAACCCGAAATTTCTATCTTGTAAAATCATTCAATTCAATCAAAAGCCAGACTTGTTTCTACTATCTTTTAGCATTGTTTAGGGTCTGTTTGAGTGTTCTAAGCCTAGTACATTCAAGGATTGGGTGTTAGAAAGTACTACTAAAGTTCACTGAGTTGCATTCAAGTCGGAAGACCCCATCACATGGAGCTTACGGCCGTAAACTCTTGTTTGCCCGTGAACTAGCCTCTTAAGTATGATATTCCTTCATTTTTCTTCACTTCTCACACTTCCAAGTCAAGAACACTCAATTCTCTCTCAAGTATCATCAAGAACACTTCAATTTCTCATTAAATTTGTAAGTGATTCTTTCATTTATTAGTTGATATCCTTCTTGATCTAGTAAAACCCCATGATATCATCCGTGAATTCATCTCTTTTTGGGGTTAGATCTTCAAGAACACACACTAGTTTCTTTGGGCCGTAATCACCCTTTCTAGCTTCCAAATCATAAGTATCCTTTCCATATACTTGATATTCATTAGAAGCTCTTGATTAGCATCCAAGAAACAACCATTTTTAGCAAGACCATCAAGAGTTTACGGTCGTAAACCCTTGTATGGCCGTAAACCCTTCTTGATTTACATCATGGTCGTGAACCCTTTCAAGTCTTGGCTGTAAACCCTATCTATTTCATGTGTTGGTCGTAAACTCATTGGCCAAGAACACATCTAGG